ATTGATACTTGGGTAATATAAACAAGTTAGAAGACATACCTTTTGATGAAGCTTGAAGTTCATGAACTTTAAGAGCTTAGCCCCAATAGTATGGAAGCCTCAAGTGGAATCACAAATCACCAGAACCAACTTAGAATAACTTGAGAATAAGGATACTTAGGTTCCACTTATGAAATCGACATTGCCCTCATTTCTATGCACCCACACCAATTTCTTGAACCAAGGACCTCTTTATATAGTGTGGAGGATTAGGGTTACATTCATGTAAACCCTAATACCCATGACCTTTCATTTCTATAGGATCCATGGGTTAAATACTCCATGGACTATCCATGAAAGCTTAGCCCAACCTAAATGAACTTGGTCCACCACACACACACACACACACACACACACACACATATATATATATATATAGATATATAAGAGTCCATATTTAATTAGCTCATTTTGATCACTAGATTAATTCTAAATTAATTATTGATCACTACTAATTAAATAATATGATTTCATATTAATATATTAGAACTTATAATATATTATTATAAATCACTAGTATCATTTTTTCTCATTTTGTCTATCCAATTGTTCCGGTGAAGTGCAACCCAAATGGACCATACCAAGTCGGGTCGAATACATACCAATAATAGTTATGGGCTTAGACATCTAATCCAACACATTAGACAAACTAGATCCAAAGCTTTAGGGTTTTCATGTACACCATAGGATTGATGTAGTGCTCATAATCCATTAAAGGTGACATGGTATCAACCGGTTGCAACGCATGGCTCCATAAGAATTCAACACGTGGTAGTCTTCTAGAAACCTTGATGTGGACCAACCAGCAAGCAACACGTGGCAGGAAGATGGAGGAGCCAACAACGTCGATATACGCGATGCACACATGCTTTTCCTGGTGCGCCTGCCTAAAATCCCTATAAATAGCTGCCGAATCTGCTCATTTCTCCTCAAAATTCCCTTCACATCTCTCTAAGCTTTCAATTAGATTTTCTCCCATCTTTTAGGAATATTTTAGTAGAGTCTTGGGAACTCTCGGAACCCGAATAGAAGGAGTATCCGAGTGGGGATTCTGTCTGCGTATTTTCCTGGTTTTCGCTTAAAAGCTCTGTAAGTTAAGCTACACTCTATGTATTTCAGTGTAACTTATATTTATACTCATAAGTTGCTATTTTGACCTTATAAATAAGATTTATCAGTAATTCCAAGTTATAATAATGATCAATCTACTTACAGGAGAGGTGAATAGAATGGTCACGTTGACTTCGTTGTTGAATTTCAAAAAGACCATATGTCAAAATGGTTCTGCCTCCCAACTGTCGTGCCTAGCATATCCTTACTTGATAGATCTTGTTGTAAACATTGAGATTAGTGAGGATCTTGACTATTATTAATCACCATGATCATTTGACTAAAACTCTATATTAATCATACCTAGGTCACGTCAAAAGAAAAACTAAGTGCTAAGGCGAAGTTATGCCCAAATTATGAGGCATCCACATTTATCATGTAAGTGCATAGTCTCTTTCATGAACATGATTTAATACATGTATTAATTAAAGTATTAAATACATGTTAGATGTTGTATGTAAATTATATTCTTATTATCTGGATTATATGCTCAACTATATATATATATATATATATATATATATATATATATATATATATATATACTATTCTATGTGTGAACCACGTATGGCTCTATTTTATGTTAGGATGAGTAGATAGATAATATTAAAAGTAGCATTGTTGAAAAGATAAATGATTAATAATACCTAATACTATGTATGGAATGTATACACTAAATATAGGCTAGTGTCGCCCAAGGATAGAGTTGTTATTAGAAATTGGTTACATGTATTATAAACTAGTCTGGGGATAAACTTAGACATATAGAAGACACCTAGCTAGTTCACTTAAGTTTGATATTAGGTAGTCTCATTAGGAGAATGTGTGTAAGCTACGAAAGGAGAGTAAAGTCATATTCCGTGACACTTTAAGGTGTTGATGGTATGATTACGTATCGGAGTACATTATAGTATTCCTTTTCGGATAACCAAAAATGATAGGTCCTAATAAGACAACTGTAATGGTATGTTTGCATATTCTTGGATAACCAGAAATGGTAGGTCCTGATCAGACAACTATAATGGTATGTCAGCATATTCTTCGATAACTAGAAATGGTAGGTCAGACAACTATAATTGTATGTTTGCATATTCTTTGTGACTTACACCGACAAAGGAAGCCCTTAGTTGTGTAGTCGATAAACTAGTAATGGTAGGTCTTGATCAGACAACTGTAATTATATGTTTGCATATTCTTTGTGGCTTACACCGGAAAAGGAAGCCCCTAGCTATGTAGTCAATCTTTTTAACGATTCATTTGGTGAGATTATTTCTTCATAATAATCTTAGAATAAGATCTATGAGGATCGGTAGGAATGGATATGTAGGAATGCAAGCCTATATGGATATTGTATGATAATGGTTGGTTTTGCAGGTTTGATAATTAAGGAATATTATCATATCAATATTGTGGGATTGAAATCTCTATGTATCTCACCAGGTTTTCCAACATGAATCACTCAAATTATATGCATCACAGGTATCAAGACATAAGCTATTGGAACTTGATTAAGATGTTGAGTGATTAAGAGTCGACCTATAATAGTATTCAGGACCGTCAGGTCTTTACACTGTAACTATTGTATATGTATTGTTTATGACATCTTTAGGATTTTAATATTTTGGAAACAAGAATTTGTTATCAAAATGATCTTTTGTACTAGGATTTTCTGTAAATATAAATAAATGATTTTAAAAGCGTAACACAAAATTTTAATTCGTTCTGAAAATTAGATGATGTCACATCATAAAAGACAACAACATGAATGCAAGGGATCCCAATAATGTCCCACTTCCTACAGCTATATATCCTCTTATTTATGTTCACAACATATTGATCAAGGTATTTCCCATTCACTTGGTACTTTCCAGCCCCATTGTAGATGCAATTATAATAAGTAGCTTCATCCTTAATTGTTGGCATCAAACTTTGTGCAGTTCATGTGATAATATCAATTGCCTTGTCAAGTACCTTCTAAAATATTCATATCTTCTTGATAAGATATTCCCTAATGAACTCCAAATAAGAAATTATAGATATATCACTTCCATCAATCAATTTGGAATTGAAACCCTCACATAAGTTGTTGAGCAAAATATTTGTATGTAGTCTTCCTGATTTGAGTATACCATAATAAAGCAAGTCAATGAATCAAAGTCAATAATTTCAACATGTAATATTATATAAGTTGATAAACTTAATTGATGAGGTATATATGAGAAATGGCTCGTAGCCCATAGCTTAGTGGTATCTTTTGCAACCAGTCATGAGCTTGATTGTTGAATATCTTCATGTCCGCCATAGCTTTTCTAAAGAAGGGAAATGTAGTGGCATTTTCACACCTCTATAAATACTTTTTTCAGTTGCTTTCACATCCACTACAACTTCATATTCTTAACGATGTGTCTAAGGAAAAACATGTGCTCAACAGTGGGGAAGACCCTAGAAATTGCTAGTATGAGACCATATTGAGACAATATTCATTAAATTCCAAGAGCACATTGTTTTAGCTTCTACAATTGCATAAGCAACATGAAAAATGTCATTGTTTGCATCCAGTACAACACCGCTAAAGCCGAAAAAAATCAACCTAACTTGTTAACCTAACCCAAAATTAGCAGATTGAGTTGAGATTTCAACCCATTTAAGTTGAATAAGTCAACCTGCTTAGCCCGTTTAGTTAAATAGGTTATGTTGAGTAAAAATTATCAATCCGTTTTCAACTTGCCAACCCATTAAACTTTAACTTATATTTAATTTAATAATTATTTCAATATTATTTGGTGTCGATCTAAGTATTAATTTATAAATTATAATATTATATTATTATTTATGTTTTTTAAAAAAATGCAATCCTAATTTTCATCTTTTTTCTTGGCACTGACAACACTAGTAATTCTACAAAATCATTTCAGAATTAAAAAAAAAATTAATGTTAGTTGAACAATTTGTATGTATTTTTGAATTGAGATTGTGCTTTTTTCATATAATGAATTTTTATTTAAGTTTGAAACTAATTTAAATGGTGTAATCTTGGTTAACTTATTTGTTTTTATTTTAAAGTGGTTAACCCCATTTATTTAATAGGAGGGTTGAGAAATACATAAACATGTCAACCTGATGACAACGCATTTATCTGAAATGTTGGGTTGGGTTGGATTGAGAATATCAACCCTTATAAATAAACAAGTTGAGTTGGGTTGAAATCTTCAACCTAATTAATAAATGGGTTGAACCTGAGCCCAACACAGATCGACTCACTGTCAGCTCTAAACAACGACAAAGATTTGACCTGGAAATGACCCCTTCACAAAGGCTCTATCTAGTCCTAACAAATCCCCTCTTCCTGCTGTAAAACATTGTTTAAAGGCCCTAATAGATCCTTTTAATTTTTCTTGTTTCCATATTATTTATAGTTGTGTCTTCATTGGTCCTTTACAACTCTAACATAGCCCCTTAACATATTATATTGCTTCTCACACTCACCATATATAATATGTTTATGCTATAAACTTTTCTCTAAACACCTTCATCCTTGAAATTTATAACTTGTATTTTTATTGGAGGTCCTCTTTGAAAGCAGCAACATGGATATTAGGATTAGTACATTCAAACACCAGTAAAGATAAAATGATGCTAATCCGATTAACTCAAAAACAAAACCAAGCGCAAGAATCACTACTCTGATGAACTCAAAAATAAAATGTAAACATAACTAAAAAAATATCAAAAAACGAACATTAAACATCATATTCAGTCTGATCAAAATCCAAAATCAAGATTAAACACAAATTGAAGGTTCGATCAAAGTTTTCAGAAAATAGAAATTTGAACATCATACAATTTACACTCTGGTTTCATAAATTGAAGGTTCAATCTTCAGAAAATACAAATTGAAGGTTCAAACATTTCAAGTATAGACAGAAATTGAAGGTTCAGAAAATAGATTCCAGAGTTCTAATTTTTCAGAAAATATATTGCAGAAAATCAGAGAAGATAACATCGATTTTCAGAGTTCTAATTTTTCAGAAAATATATTGCAGAAATTGAAGGCACTTTTTTTATCCATTCAGATCCGCTCAGAGCCAAAAAGCGCCATCTATGATTCGGTCGGAGGTAATGGGAAGCATATCCAACGCTCGAACCATTCAGATGCAGAGCCATTAAGAGGCTACCAATCAAACAACCCCTAATGTACAAAAAATGCTACTCCATTAATTACATCTATTATGGACGTCCTTTACATCAGATATATATCAGTTTTACAGTCTACATGTTGCCTAATTTTTTATGAGAATCAGAAGGTTAATGTATTAATATTGGAGAAAAAACATATTAAGAATTGTATACTTTTTGTTTATTCGTCAAAAACAAGCTTTCCATATATTGGAAATATATCCTTATTTGTTCAATCAAGTTAGGTTTGAATAAAAAAGGTCCGATTCCAATAAATAGCACTACAGTTTCACTTCATTTTTGGTAATTAAATTTATATCGGAAGTTGAATGGTTTTCAAAAGTTGGGCGGTTTTAGTAACAATTTCAAAACTCGAATGACCAAATTGGAAATAAAGTAAAAGTATACTGCTATTTATTGCAACTTTCCCAATAAAAAGGTATAATTGGATAAAAATAAATATTCTACATAAAAGGTGATCATATATATAAACAACTTTTAGAATTACCATCGAAATAGCCACATGAGTTATCTGGAAGACATCCAGACATGCTACAACGCTTCCATCTGACAAAAAAGTAAATAAAAATATGATGCAAATTGATATTAATTTTGGATATTATAAAAAGGTAAAGCTCACCCTTGTCTAAAACAGGAAGATGTAAGAATTTCCCATCATGCATTATATGTAGTGCCTCAAGAATCGTTGTGTCCACCGTTGCACATTTTGGATTTGGTGTCATAACCTTAAGGAAAGAACATTTATTTAAAATACAAAAACTTCCCATGTATTAAAAAAAAGAAATATTCCGAAAGAAACCCTAGGAGTTTGGATGTGCATTTTAGAAGTGACTATTTAATTAGAGCCAAGTACAAGAAACATCAATGTACTTTTATTTATTTGTGTATTACTTTCATTTCTTTCTATTTCAACATTCTAATTTCACTTTTTTCCTTAAAGCTACACAATTGAAGTCCTCAAAAAAAAAAAGTTGTAAAAATATAACCTTTTCAACAAATGTCAACTCAGGAGGAAGATTTTGTGCCACAACTCGCATGAGTAGATCCTTTGAACTGAAATCAACCAAAAACACTATTAATATCGTACAAACAAGCAATAAGAGTGTCATCAAGCCGAGTCAACTCGAAGCTAACTGATACCAACTAAAAAAAATGTTGGAAACCGATGCATTTTTAAACTAAAAGATAAAAAGCCTAAAATATAAATAACAAATCAAGGACATAGTCAAACAATAATCTTACGTTAATATGCCCTGAATAATGTTTCCATCCATAATGATAACAGAACTAACATGCAATTCCTTCATCCTTTTAGCAGCAACATAAACTGGATCTGATGTCATAACAATTGCGACCCTGGGACATAATGAAGCTACCAAATTAATTTAGTGACACATAAATGAAAATATATTCCAAAAAAAATAATTAAAAAAATACTTGGAATTTTCGGTAATGATGGTTAACAAAGAGGACTGGAACTTTTGGTCACTTAGCGTCTCCACAAAAGTAGAAGGTGCTGAAATAATGATTTTAAATCATTAGTCATAGACTCACTACGATTAATATATAATGACACAGCATTATGAAATGCAATTTAGGTAATCAATTTTAAAGTACCCAAAAAAGTAGTTTATTGAAATGTAATTAATATTTAATCACAATATTTTCATTGATAATTTAAATACTCACCGGTCAAATTATTTCCTGATTCGCGTTCCACAGTTTTTTCAATTCCAGATATAACATCATTGAGGCACTTTTTAATATCCAATGATCCAATAACTTCACCATTTTCAACAACTGGGAGATGCCTAAATTTTCCTGTTTTCGTAATAAATGAGAAAATATAAATATATGAAACCACATGAAAGTTGAAACTAAACTAACCTTGGATCATCTTCTGAAGGGTATCCATTGCCAAAGAATCAGAAGAGACAAAAATAGGATATTTTGTCATAATTTTTGATACTATAGTTTGGTGTGGGCTTAGTTTTTCTGCAACAACTCTAGTTGCTATATCCTAAAGACAACGATTGTCAAATAGTTAGAGAACATAAGAGAAAACCATGCAAGGAAAGTTCAAAAAAATGTAAGGAATACCAAAAGAGAAAATAAAGACTTGTTTTTCAAGAAATGACACAACATCCAGGTTTTGGCTTATCAATATCACAAATATTGCAATTTTTTAATTATGGTTATAGATTACGGGTAGATATTCCAATTTTCATACCTTTCCGGTGACTATTCCACAAAGCAAACTATTAGCATCTGTAAATATCGCGACATTAACACGACGAGCTGCCATTCTCCTACAAACATCTAACACAGGGGTTTCATCCGGCATTGTGAGGACCTTTGACAACCTAAACATTTTCACCATCCTCTCGCCACTAACCAATCAAAAACAAATATTCATTAAAATACCATACAAAAAACAAATAAAAATACCATATAACTCTCCTTCTAGCATGAATAATTACTTATATTCAATTCATGACATTTATGCTCATGGAGAAATTATTCATAAATAGTAGTCCTAAGAACAAGCTAATAAAACGGACAAATGCATTAGAGCACTTTGAGTACCTTCAACCCATCTCAATTAAACTATCATTTCGCTAGGTAACATATAAAAGATTGATTAATATGATTGAACTGATGAGGGAATAGGCGAAGGGGATTTCAATGCATAGTGGCTCCGGGGGAGATTGTTCCATTTTCCGATTGAGTTGATAACGGTTTTTTGATGGCAGTAAATGGATTGTTTCGTCTATACATCGAATTGTTCCCACGACGTGCTACGACCCTTGGCTGCTCATTTTTATTGCTATGATGCTTCCCCTCCGATTCTCACTGTGAACAGGGCTTTTATGAGGTATGAAATCGACAAGGGTTTTTCAAGATTCCATGGAGGACCTTATTCCATTACATGCTCTAGAGAAACAAGAAAAATTGATTCTCATGTATGGTGAATTCTAACAGGTTGAATCGATTCTTTTTCTTTTGCGTAATTTTTTTTTTCTTTTTATTTACATTCTCTGCTTCAATTCAATTTATGTGTAACAAAACACACCCTTAACGCCTAAAAAATATGATAAATCACAAGGTGTTTGGGATTGCTTTTTGAAATAACTTACCGACTTATTGTCTTTTTAAAAAGCCAATATGTTAAAAATGTGTTTGTGTAACCCTTGTTGTTTTCCAAGTATGAATTGTTTTGTGTTGAATTATCTAAGATTTAGATTTAGGGTTTCGAGATTTACGGTTTCGGACAGAGCGCGACACGACTTCTATATGTTGCGGCGCAAGCCACGTCAATAAGTAGTGACACGACCTGTAATGGTCGCGTCGCGAAGCCGCCAGGGGCCAATACCATAAGTTCTTGTTTGGGTTAAAAAAAACTATTTTTTCGGTAACAAATATATATTTATAACATAATTTTACATGTTACAAACAACTTAAAAACATGTTTTTTGTTGAATTTTTGTATGTAAAAATCATTTTATTGTTTATGATATTTATATAATTAATATATGTCAATTTATATAATTTATTAATGAGACCCCCACAGGGTTTCGGATCAGAACTACCAACCCCCACCCCCGATTTTTTTCAACAAATCCCCCCATACGGGACGGGGCCCCCACGGGACTTCTTGACATCCCTAAATGTATTTTCGCCCCTCTCATTTTTAAAATGTTATTTTGACCCTCTTAATAGAAAAAATACTCAATGTACAACTATGTCAATGCGTAAAGTATGATTTTAACCCCTCAATTTTATATAATACGATGCTTACAACCCCTTTATTTTGTAAAATATGTTCCAGTACTTTACCTTTTAAAATATAACTTTCACTTTCTCCACCTTCAACTTTATAAAATGTTATTTTCACCCCCTTCATCTTTCATCCCCAACTTTGTATAATCGGTCACTTGCAACCCCTCAATTTTGTAAATATCATCCCTTCACTTTTTAAAATATCCACCCCCTTCTTTATAAAATGTCACGTTCATCTCTTTATTTTCTAAACTTTCATGTTTATCCCCCGTTCTACATATAATATGATTTTCCTTTATATACTTTCCTAATACACAACAAAAACTCATAAAAACTCGTGTAAAGCACAAGCTCAATTACTAGTTATATATACGTAGCAACTTTCATCGAAAAATTCACATACCGTGTATTTGAATAGCCTACATGATTCGTAGGAGACCCCTGGCGCCTTTGGTTAGGAGAAGTTGTAGAACCTACATCATATAGGCTAGGTGGTGGAGGAATACTAGAGACCTGCGAAATGTAGAGGTACAATGTTAGTAGGATTTGTGGAAAGCATATTTCATCAACATGAACCATTTCACTTTCTTTTAATTATGATTCTTTTCGTAAATTAATATTCTTAGAAAATCTTTTCTATTAATAAATAATGTTAGTGTAAAGAATATTTGATCCATTAGTTATTTTACTATGACTTTATTATAAGCGATATTTTCGTTAAATAATATATAAAAAACTATTATACTTAGATAAAAATAAAAAATATATCATTAACATTTCCAGTCTCCATATGAAGATTATATAGCGTCACGATTGTATGATGAATGTGAAGGGATGAGCTGCCCCAACCATAGTGGCAATTTTATATAAAAAATAAGAAAAAACTATATAAATAAGGATCATAGATATTATACCATCCATATTACGAAAAAATAGACATGATATATGAGAATCTAAAAAACCACAAAGACATGTAATTTTGTCAAAATAAAATGCGCCACCCAATTATCACTCGTGCTACCACCAAAAAAGAAAATTACTCACTTTCTCTTTTTTTATTTGGGACAAACAATATATATATATATATATATATATATATATATATATATATATATATATATATATATATATAGAGAGAGAGAGAGAGAGAGAGGAAAGATCATTTGAAAACCTATACTTTCGCGAGAACCCGAGAACCAAACAAAGACCCAGGGACGGATGTAGAATTTTATAGTATGGGTGTCACGGGATGGTCATGGGTTGCACGATACTAGAAAAAATAAATTTTACTAAAATTTTACGGTGCGTCCGAAAAAGTCAGACGTTGCACGGGCAACGGTGTGCCCTATAGTAAATCCGCCATTGCAAGGACCGTTAGATCAAAATAACAAAGGGTCAAGATGATTTGTGGCATTTTTGTAAAAACTTGAAAATAAAACACATGGGGGTATCTTATTTCAATTTGTTAGAGGGCATTTTAGGGATAGAAAACTTATACTTGATCCTCTCAAACCCTTTCCTTATACTATTTCTCTATGTTCGTCATCAAATCTCTCTGCCTCTCACGTTCTTCATTGACGATAAAGACGACTGCCTCCTCCATCATCTGTTGTTGATCACCTCCTTCCTACCTTCACCGACCACCTCTACCTCTGTCGACCACCACACTCGATCTCACGTTCTTCAAAGAAAAAATTTCAATGAAGATGTTTTGATTTTGAATCATTTTATCCTCTATCAATTTGTTCCCCGGAGTACACCATAATCGCTGACTTCATCTCGGCCTCCTATGTGGATTGAAGACCTGAACGGAGAAGAAGATGCTTTGTCGATCAAGAATTCAAAGTGCAAACAATATGAAAAGTGCATCTGGTCTCGATCGCTATACTTACGCCTGAAGCACTTGACCTTAGCCTATCAGACTATCCCGAACTCTCGATATCAGTCTCAATTTTCATCCACTAGAAGTTGCTTAAACAGAGGTTTTTATTTTTTTGCATTTCTTCGGTTTTTTAGATTAGATGTCACTTTTGCTTTTCTGCATTACTAAAATTAAGCTGACAATCTATATGCTTGTTCATATTCTGATTTAGTCACCAGATTCAATACAGTATGTGATATTGAAATTACTTAGAGTTTAGAAGTTTTCTTATTAAGAAGAACATTTTCGTGAATATATGAAACTCTAGTGCTCTTTTCCTTCATGTGTTGCCTTATGAAAATTGTTGTTCTCTTTAAAATGGACCTTTTTGGTGAAAATATAGTCAATTTGTATTCAAAGTGTCAGGTTTTTTGAAGTGCACACAAGTTGCTCAATGAAAGTCCTGAACCAGATTTAGTTCCTTTGCTTTAAATTTAAGGTAGATTGGCTTAATACAAGTATACAACTTTGCATTCCTTTGTTCACTTCTAATAATCCATGATATTTTCTTAGGATTTTACCATCTCAATTTGTTTTTCAATTATAAAGTAAACAAATGAACAAAATTATGCTGTTATTTCTTGGGTTTACCCGTATCTTGAGTGGGAATGATAGTTTTCCATGTTTGATTAAATTTTAGAATTTATGATTTGTTTGTAGTTTTCAAATTTCATTATGTTTCAATCATGTATAGAACCCAAAGCCCAACTTTTATTAGTTAATGGAAAAATAGAAGATGAAGTTTATAGAAATATGGAAAAAAAAATTCTTACAATGAAGATAACAAAAGAACAACCTAAGGTAACAAATGACTTACATTTATTATTGATGCAATTACTTGTTTTGTTTGTTTGATTTAAATTTAATTAGAAGGTATGTATGTATTTTGTTCCAGGATGTGGCTTTTGTGATTGATGGATGACCTCTTGAAATTGCACTCAATTATTATCGGGAAACATTCACATAATTGGAAGTACTATCACATACAACTATATGATGTTGGATTACACCATCCCAGAAGGCACAAGTAAAACTAGCTACACATTATTTATTTTCTGATTGCAAATTACAGACCAAATATGTATGTCTAAAGTATCTTTACGTCTTTAACTATTAGTTATTTATGATTCAAAGCCAAAACGCAGGTAATTTTCAAGTTGACTAAAAAATTTCATTTCTTAAAAAATAAATAAATAAAGTTACTAAAAATCGTACCCTTTTTTATTGATTTTTAGTCAACCCTATCCGCCTTACATATAGACGTTTATTAAGTAATTTTAAAATAATCAAAAAATTAGTATTATAAAAACTAGCATGGACTTTAACATGGCTAATTAACATGGCTAATTAGTATGATGGTGTTGTACCTATACAAAAGTCCCCTCATCGTATAAGATGCTCTTAGGTAATTAACGGGTTGGTTAGCTGGTTCAAATTCAATAATTGATTTTTTGTAGATGTTACTATTCTTTTTCTAAAACGATGATGTTATAAGAGAAAACTCATTGCTAAAGAGAAAAAAAGCAGGAGGAAACAAAATCAAAAATTACATAGCCTTAAAAGGGCAACATAACCAATCAGGCCAATTATAAATACCAAAATTACCCATATTTTTAACCCAATTGAAAACCGTAAATATGATGGTATCCACCGTTTTGGAAGGGGAGTGATGAATCTTGTTAAAAAACATGTCATTTCTTACTTTCCACACGTTCCATAGAAGACCGTATACAATCGCCACTAAAATTGTACTCTTCTGAGGCAACAACCCCAATTTTCCGTGAAAACGATGACATCATTAATAGAGTTGAAAATTGGATGAGGGATATCACACCATTTAAAAACCCAGTAAAGGACCTCCCGAGTAAAGATGCAACCTGCCATGATGTGATCAGTGGAATCGAAGCCAGTGGAACAAAGATGGCAAGAGGTTGAGGAGGGAGAGACACCACAATGATTGAGAGCGGTAGCGGCAGGTATGCAATCAAGACTCGCTCCAAATAAAACACGATACCTTAAGGGGAACAAGATTAGTCCAAATAGTTGCATTTGGAATTCCACACATGAGTTTGGAGTCAATAACGCATGCGGGGTTGCTCACAAAAAAATCACCTTTGGCATCATGTTTGGATTTCCAAATATCATTTGCATCAGTGAGGTTGACAACGAAAATAAGATTTTTTAGTTGATCAAGCTCCAACGATTCAGGCGGCCTGCGAGGAATTCTCTTTATATCGTTCAACACCGATGTAGGAGCTTTGAAGAGAGAGAAATAGAATAACGAAATGCTGCGCAACACCGATTTGACGAGAGTTAGATGCCCTCCGAATTAAAGAGTCTTTGATTTCCAAGTTGAGAGTATGTTTTGAACCCGGTCAACAATAGGTTTCTAATTTCGCTTCAAAGCCATGTTCAATCTGATAGGAACTCATAAGTAGGTGAAAGGAAAGGGTGTCGCTTCACATCCCAGGATATCAACAGAACTGCCTACTTTAATATCTGAAGACGTGTGACTTATGGAAATTCACCTTTAAACCTAAAACAATGTTAAAACAACGAAGAATCTGATATAGGTTGATGAAGTTAGAGCTTGGCCAATGACCAACAAAGATGGCGTCATCTGCATAAAAGAGATGTGAGATGGATGGGTCGTTGTTCGGAGTTTAGATGCCACGGAAAAGAGAATGTTGACAGGATGATTTCATCAACCCATTTGAAACATAATAGAATCAAGGAAGTGCCAGTTATTAGAATCAAACGCCTTGTCAAAGTCAACTTTGAATAAGAATGCCTTCCATTTTTCCTTTTTAGCGCAAGACTAAATCTTGTTGATTATAAGAGGATCATCAAGTATGTTGTGTACCTCGATGAAACTGGTTTGGATGCCATCAATCACCGTGCCTGTAAGCCGTTTGATGCGATTAGCAAGTGCTTTAGCGATAATCTTGTATAAGCTCCCTATAAGGTTGATCGGTCGATAGTCATTAAGGGGGAACGAGTCTTTGGTTTTGGGTATTAAGGTAATAAATGACGAGCTAACACCCCTAGCAAAACGCCCACTAGCTTCAAAGTATCTAACGAACCTCATGATGTCGTCTTGCATCAGACATAAATATCTCCTAAAAACTGGAAGGTGAATCCATCTGGCCCTGGGCTTTATCACCCCCATAGTCCCATATAATAGCCTTAATTTCTTCAAGATTGAAATCAAGTTCTAAGGAGGCATTGTCTTCCAGAGAGAGTCGTTTGAAATTCTAGTTGAGCAGAAAGGGCATGACAGTCTGAGTTTCTCTAAATTTTTCACCAAAAAAAAACGTAATGCTTCCACATTTAGAGAATCTTTATCAGATACCCAATTCCCGTTTACCAGGAGGCCTTGAATGGTATTTTTCTGCCTTTAATTTTTAGGAAATTATGGTAAAATTTGGTGTTTTTGTCTCCGTCAGTAAGCTATTTGATCTTGGCTCGTTGCTGTAAGTCAAGCCTAGATAGGTGTTCAAGTTCAAGTATTTTTGTTTTCCTTCCCTAAACATTCCACCTTAGGTTTGATATCAAAGAGATCTTTGTGAACTTTCTCAAATTCGAGCCTTCTCCATTCAATGATTGCATTTTTAATTGCCTTTAGTTTGAGGTATATGTATTTATCCTGGGTCTTGTGACTGTGGAAGCTATTCCATGTAGAAAAGATATCGTGATCGATGTCGTCACAAGCATCTCTCCATCTCTCTCTCTCTCTCTCTCTATATATATATATATATATATATATATATTAATAAATAAATATGTTTATTCTTCTATTGATAAGTATCATACTATTATAATTCCTCATTAACATAATATGTCACCTATAATGTTACTTGTCAACCTATTAATTATCAATTTCAAATTTTAAAATTTAAATATCCCGCTTTAATTATATTAAATTAATAACATTAGATTAAAAAATAAAATAAAATTAATACAAATTATAAGATGATATAACTTTACGTATTTATTCAAATCAACGATTATAATTTTATATAACTAAAAAAGTATTCCTAAGTAATAATTTATTTAAAATAATTGATTAATAATTTTAATTTTTTAATATGAAAGTTTAATTAATTTTATAAATATGATTCTCACGGGTAATAAACTAATACATTATATATATATATATATATATATATATATATATATATATATATATATATATATATATATATATATATATATATATATATATTATATATATCATAAGAAATTAAATAGGTATCAAAAGGTGATCATATGTAAACAACTTTTAGAATTACCGTCGAAATAGCCACATGAGTTATTTGGAGGACATCTAGACATGCTACAACGCTTCCATCTGACCAAAAAAGTAAATAAAAATCAAGTGAAATTGATAATAATTTTGGATATTATAAAAAGGTAAAGCCTACCTTTGTCTATAACAGGAAGATGTAAGAATTTCCCATCATGCATTATATGTAGTGCCTCAAGAATCGTTGTGTCCACCGTTGCACATTTTGGATTTGGTGTCATAACCTTAAAGAAACAACATTTTTTTTCATAAAAATACAAAAATTTCCCATGTTTAAAAAAAATATTCCAAAAGAAACCATAGGAGTTTGGATGTGCATTTTAAAAGTGACTATTTAATTAGAGCCAACTACAAGAACCATCAATGCACTTTCATTTATTTGTGTCCTGTAGCACCTAACTTTCATTTCTTTCTATTTCAACATTTTAATTTCACTTTTTTTCCTTACAAGGCATTAACATATAGCTACACAATTGAAGTCCTCAAAAAAATTAACAAGTTGTAAAAATATAACCTTTTCAACAAATGTCAACTCAGGAGGAAGATTTTGTGCCACAACTCGCATGAGTAGATCCTTGGAACTAAAAACAACCAAAAACACTATTAATATAGTACAAGAAGCAATAAAAGTGTCATCGAGCAGAGTCAAGTCGAAACTAACCCATACCAACTAAAAAAAATATTGGAAACCGATGCATTTTTAAACTAAAAACTAAAAAGCCTAAAATATAAATAACGAATCAAGGTCATAGCCAAACAATAATCTTACGTTAATATGCCCTGAATAATGTTTCCAGCCATAATTATAACAGAACTAACTTGCAATTCCTTCATCCTTTTAGCAGCAACATAAACTGGATCTGATGCCATAACAATTGCGACCCTTGGACATAATGAAGCTACCAAATTAATTAAGTGACTCGTAAATGGAAATATATTCCAAAAAAAAAAAGTAATTAAAAAAATACTTGGAATTTTCGGTAACGATGGTTGACAAAGAGGACCGGAACTTTTGGTCACTTAGCGTCTCCACAAAAGTAGAAGGTGCTGAAAAAATGATTTTAAATCATCAGTCATAGACCCACAACGATTAATATATAATGACACTACATTATGAAATGCAATTTAGGTAATCAATTTTAAAGTACCCAAAAAAGTAGTTTTTTGAAATGTCATTAATATTTAACCACAATATTATGAATGATAATATAAATACTCACCAGTCAAATTATTTTCCGATTCGCGTTCCACAGTTTTTTCAATTCCATATATAACATCATAGAGGCAGTTTTCAATATCCAATGATGCAATAACTTCACCATTTTCAACAACTGGGAGATGCCTAAATTTTCCTGTTTTCGTAATAAATGAGAAAATATAAATATATAAAACCACATGAAAGTTGAAACTAAACTAACCTCGGATCATCTTCTGAAGGGTATCCATTGCCAAAGAATCACAAGAGACAAAAATAGGATTTTTTGTCATAACTTTTGATATTGTTGTTTGGTGTGGGCTTAGTTTTTCTGCAACAACTTTAGTTGCTATATCCTAAAGACAAAGATAGTCAATTAGTCAGAAAACAGAAAAGAAAACCATGCAAGGAAAGTTCAAAAAAAAATGTAAGGAATACCAAAATAGAAAATAAAGACTTGTTTTTGAAGAAATGACACACAACCTTGTTTTGGCTTGTCAATATCACAAATATTGCAATTTTTTAATTATGATTATAGATTACGGGTAGATATTCTAATTTTCATACCTTGCCGGTGACTATTCCACAAAGCAAACTATTAGTATCTGTAAATATCGCCACATTAACACGACGAGCTGCCATTCTCTTACAAACATCTAACACAGAGGTTTCATCCGACATAGTGAGGACCTTTGACAACCTAAGCTTCTTCACGATCCTCTCGTCACTAACCAATCAAAAACAAATATTCATTAAAATACCATACAAAAAACAAATAAAAACACCATATAACTCTCCTTCTAGTAGGAACAATTACTTATATTCAATTCATGACATTTATGCTCATGGAGAAATAATTCATACATAGTATTCCTAAGAACAAGCTAATAAAACGGATAAATGCATTAGAGCACTTTGAGTACCTTCAACCCATCTCAATTAAACTGTCATTTCGCTAGGTAACATATAAACGATTGATTAATATGATTGAACTGACGTGGGAATTGGCGAAGGGGATCTCAATGGATAACCATCAGTGGCTCCGGTGGAGATAGTTCCATTTTCAGATTGAGTTGACAACAATATTTTGATGGTAGTAAACGGATTTTTTCGTATATATATTGAATTGTTCCCTCGACGAGTTGTAGCCCTTGGCTGCACATTTTTTGCTATGATGCTTCCCCTCCGATTCTCACTTTGAAAAAGGATTTTATGAGGCATGAAATCGACAAGGGTTTTCCAAGATTCCATGGAGGAACTCATTCCATTACATACTTTTGCGAAACAAGAAAATTGATTCACATATATGGTGAATTCTCTGTTGTACCAAACAATTTGAATG